AAGAGTCAACCCAGGATACCCAAAAGTAGGTTGTACTGTTGAGACAACCCATTAGGGTCAATCAATTTCACTCTGATAACCTTTTACAATACCAGAGTGCTTGCCAGTTTTGTGCAAACAACAGTTTGGGCCGTTAGTGTAACGAACTGTGAAAATGCAGCCGTCTGACCAATACGTATCATGCAAGAGATGTGACCAATACTGTAGGTTCAGGACAATGTATATGGGAAATGCATCTGGAAATTCACAAGAGGTTCTTGGAATACTTCACTGGATTCCTGTTTCATTGCAATGTGGACTTTGCAATCCTCCAAGCAGTTACATAATGCTTCATTCTGTTTAAAGTGCAACAATTCTACCACATTTTCTTCAATTGATGCAAGTAGCAATCTAACAGCCTAACATCAGCTCCAAGCTCCAACCAGGCATTTAACACCACTATACCAATGACTCAAAATCACAAGCTCCTCGTTTTTCCTTTTAGTTTGCAATCCCAACAGTCTGCATTTCAAAGACCCCCATCAGCAATCACTTGTTAACTGCTAACTCATTTTCACACTTGTGTGTATTGGTAGCATACAAAACTTCCAATCTGAACAGTGAAATGCAGATAAGTTTGGTAAAATTATTTTGGCTGTAAAACAGAAGAGCTGTAATTAACTGATTTAATAGGAACAATGAAAAATTTTTCATATACGAAGTATAAAAAAGCCAAAGGTCAGTGTACCACAAATAGCTGATAAAAAAGCCACGATAAAGACAAATGCATATGGCACACATTTCAAATATCAAATTATATAAAATAAGCCCAAATATAATGAAATAAATTATTATAAAAGGTATTAATAAACATTATTACATTAATTTAATTTATTACCACATAATATATTTTAATTAAATTTTTTCGGTTAATCCAACAACAAAAGTTGCCAAACATTTTTTTTCTAGAAATGCAGTTCTAACATAATGCAGTTAATAATTTAATGCATAAATTGTAGGGTAAAATAAGCCTAAAATAGGTAAACACTATGGTCATAGGCACATTACAGAGCAAACACACAGTAGAGGAATGTCTGAGCACTAACACATTAAAACGGTAAAACTCTCTTTGGGACCACCTGGAGCTGGGAAGCCAATTTGACATTCAAATGAATGAGATACCTGTCTGACTGGCCATTGATTTAAACTGCAGGATAGAAGAGAGGTCTGCATGAAAACTCCTATCATTGTGAGACACTTGAAGAGCAAATGCGTCATTGTATCTCTAAGTTCTGGTGGGACCTTCTGGAATATGTCGCACAAAGAAATTAATTTATGTAAAGAGTAAAGTCTTACCACTGTTTGCTCCGTAGTATTGGATCCCAGGAGCCTCAACGCCAAGTTGAGCTTCTCATCCAACAACAATGGACCAAGTTCAATGGAATCACACTTCAAACAAAAGAGAAGTGAATAATAACAAAACACAGGCTCAGGCTGTCAAATGTTGCCAATATCCTTCAAACTTTAACAGCTTTATGTTGCAATCACGCATTTATAGATAATCAAAAGTAGTTAAATAGGACGGAAACCTGACGAGCGCGTCTTCACGTACCGACTGCTCAAAGCGCGATGGCGCACTAATGCAGCTCGAGCGTTCACTGTCCTGTGTCGACGCCCCGCCCCCGCAGGCTGCCTTAGGTAAAGCGCCCCGCCTCCTTGTATCAGCATGAGCGATTGCGCTCCGCCCATTTCCAATGTAAACTCAGTCTCCCATTGCCTCTTAAAGGACCAGTATGGAATTTACAACCAAATCCACAACTGTAGTCTAATATATTGAGATTGTATTTGGCGTCCATTTATTTTAATTTAAAGCTACATATCATATATCCACAAGTTTTTATACACATTAATTACACTTATATAAAAAATGTGTATAACTATTAAATAGTAATGTATTATTTTTACTATTAATGACAATATATATTATAATATACAATCAATATATTATATAATTTATATTAATAGTAAGCATCGATGGTGAGATTTAAAGAAATATAAATATTTTCACAAATTGGTTTGTTTGACTTTGTTTCCTTTTATTTAGAAAATAATATAATTCTGTCATCAGGTCATCTTCTTATTATATTTTTTTTCCTCCAAAGACAAAGAATTTTAGCCAAAGCCAGATGATCATTGACAGCTCAAGAGCTCCTTCAAGTGATTGTTTCTTTTTTATATATTGTCTAGTACAGAATATACATATTTGATCACAGAGTACACCCTTGGCACTAAACACTTATTATAATACAATATATCCCATTTTAGGCATTTTAAAAGTCCTTAGATTCAGCACTGGTATATAATATTGATGAAGTAATCCACACCCCAGGAAAACACAAAAATAAAAATGTAAAATTAACAAATATTATATGTTAAAAAATGTTTTTCAATAAAATTAACTAAAACAAGACCAACAGTAACAATAATCACCTTTTGTCTGAGAATTTAAAAAAAACTCAATTTTTGTTTGATTGCAGCTGTGGTTACAGTTACCAAGTGGATTGATGTTGACGCAATAACCACACTAAACAAATGGGACAAACCCAACCACATACATCCTCTTCAGCCGGGTGATTCACAGTGACATATGACTCCAGTGGTCATATTTGCAAACTGGCATACAATGAAATGCGGGCCCTTTAAACATCTTTACGTGATAAAAAATAAACATGTATGTCTGAATAGACCTTTATTTCCGCTCTCTATTTTTAAAACACATATTTTGGTTTAAGTTCTACACAGATTTGAAAGGCAAAATGTGTTAAAATTCCCACTATCACACACAAAAAGAGACAAACAGCTTATTCTGTACAATATATTTTGCATGCCAAATCTCCCTCAGTGAAGAAAAAAATATAGTGCATATAAACATTCAGTCATTCTCACTTTCTCATTGCATCCCACACACACACACACACACACAGTCCAACCATACATCACGCCAGGATTCAAAAAGATAAAATAACTAAAAACAAGGAAAATAACATTCAAATGATCAAATAACATCCAAGTACGACAGTGAATATTTCATGTAAGATATACGGAAATCCAAATGGCCCACCTAAAGTTTATGAACCTGGGAATATGTATGTTTTGTATATACTAGAGCTGCAAAACCACCACACATTTACAAAGTTTGTATAGTCAGTCTTCCCTTCAATCCTGCTTATAAAAAAACCCAAAGTGGTCAAAAACTTCCCATAACTTCTGAAAAAGGTGATTACCTCCTGATATGTTCTTTATGGTGTTAGCAAACGGGCTGATCAATGGGCTCATATCCACTGGTAAAACCCTACTCTATAATTGCCATCAAAAGCATTTATCCAGCCGTTTGATCTCAAAATGGTGCATATTACCCTTCTATGAAAGAGGGAAATAATATAATTTAATAATTAACACAAGATTCTAAGAAGTAACCTCAAACATGAAGTGACTGCAGATGCATGGTTTAAGCAAGAATCACAGCTGCAGAGCTTCACTAGAACATGAAGCATTTTCCTCTGCACTTTGAAACAAGTTCGTCATTCTCACTTTCTCATTGCATCCCACACACACACACACACACACAGTCCAACCATACATCACGCCAGGATTCAAAAAGATAAAATAACTAAAAACAAGCAAAATAACATTCAAATGATCAAATAACATCCAAGTACGACCAAATGGCCCACCTAAAGTTTATGAACCTGGGAATATGTATGTTTTGTATATACTAGAGCTGTAAAACCACCACACATTTACAAAGTTTGTATAGTCAGTCTTCCCTTCAATCCTGCTTATAAAAAAACCCAAAGTGGTCAAAAACTTCCCATAACTTCTGAAAAAGGTGATTACCTCCTGATATGTTCTTTATGGTGTTAGCAAACGGGCTGATCAATGGGCTCATATCCACTGGTAAAACCCTACTCTATAATTGCCATCAAAAGCATTTATCCAGCCGTTTGATCTCAAAATGGTGCATATTACCCTTCTATGAAAGAGGGAAATAATATAATTTAATAATTAACACAAGATTCTAAGAAGTAACCTCAAACATGAAGTGACTGCAGATGCATGGTTTAAGCAAGAATCACAGCTGCAGAGCTTCACTAGAACATGAAGCATTTTCCTCTGCACTTTGAAACAAGTTCCTCCACTGAAATTCTTAGGACCATTTTTAGGACCCAACATTTGCCATTATACTGTATTATATTAGATCTGCTGTACTTAAATCACGAAAATTTGCTTTAAGCAGGAAATGAGGTTTAATAGGACACAAAATGGACTTACACTGGGATGAGTATGATGTGGAATCTCCCTCCATTTATACACATTCCTGTCCAGTTCTGTCTCTGCCATCATTAATGTATAAATACAGGGGGTTCTGTCTCATTCTTGCCATAATAAGGATGAAAAATTGGAATTTGGAAAGGGAGAAACAAGAGGAAAGAGTTCATACCACTTTTGCAGTTGTCACCAGAAAAAGAAAATTAGATAAAAATAATAGAAATGGAGAAATAAATGGTGCTTCTCTTCTGGCTGGAGGCAACAGATGCTTCCAACATAATATGATTTCACAGGTCTGCTGATCCGATTTATCCACACTCATTAACCCAATGAGAGCAACAGGATGGGAAACTTTGAGTTACAGGCCACATATATGTCCATCAGAGGGTTAAGATGGATTTTCACACATTGTAACACCTATAAATTACGAAAGGATGAAATAATCACACACATTCTGTGATGGCCATATTGCCAAATACATCCTTGTTGGTCCTGGAACAACAATCCTAGCAATCCTATCAGACTTTATGGTTAGGGTTATGTTAGAAATGTATTTGAAAATATGCAATTGCAGACTTGAACACTTGGCCAAGGTATGGCCCAGTTAGACAGAGTTGTTCCAGGACCAACAAAAGGTCTAGGAACACGTCCTACCTGGCAAAACCTTTCATCCACTCATTGATAGGGCTGTTCCAATAACTCCAAGATCCTTTGTTCGATAAAGATAGTAATTAAGCCTTAAAAACAAACAACTCTAATAAATGCTATGCATATTTATCCTCATCTGTCTAAAGCATAACTTAAGCTGAAGGCAGTCCACATGGAATTATTTTTAAAAAATGGTAAACTAATGTGTGTTTTTTTTTTAATCGAATTTGCAATACGTGGCCAACTCTTGTTGCTTTCAATGCCAAATGACTCTGTCTTAACCAGGTGCAACAAGTTTCCCGTTACAAATTTGCCCACACTAACCAAAGAGTTTCGATTCCCATTGACTTCCATTGTATTTTTTGTCCGCACAATGAAAGTTAATGGATATCGAAACTTGGCAACCAATATTCTTCAAAATGCCTTCTTTTATGTTCTGCAAAAGAAAGAAATTCATACAGGTCTGCAATGACATGATAATGAGTAAATTATAACAGAATGTCCATTTTTAACCAGCAAGACTTACTTGGTCAACCAGTTTCATTGGAAAGCTGATGGTGGTCCAGCTTCATGTGGCTATGTTGGTTTACCAGCTGGACTATAAAAAAGGGTTGGTTAGGACAAAAACTCAGATCTATATAGGAGTGGAACCTTTAAATTGCGTGTTGCTCCTGGTTAAGATGTAGTCATAGTATCTGTCATAATGTCTCAACAATTAATGTAATTTTAAGGACACTTTCACTTAGATGTACCCACTTCCTCTCCTATGTTAGTCATTCATGACCCCTGAATGCTCACTTTTCACACAGCCAAATGGCCCTTTTCAGTGTTCAAACCAGTAACGTTTGCAGAAAACATAATTTATTTAGGAATATACTGTGTTCAGGCAGACTGAGCATGTGATTGACCTTGTTTATACAGACAGTAAAATCACTTCACGGAAAAGAAAAAGCAAACAACATCATTAAACCTCACAAGTAAGCTGCGCAAGTGCCTTTTAGTTCTCTGCTGGCATTGTGTTGGGTCCCTTAGTCCATTTTCTTTTATCTTCAGTTACTTTGAATAGCCGCGTCAAAGCGAAGTGGTGAAAAATCTGAAGTTCACAGGTACAATACATTTGCTTGGCTGCACAATCTTTGAAATGTCGTCAGCTTCTATGATGTTATGTCTTGCCAGATGATCAGGAAAGGGAAAATCGGAGAGGTGTTTGAACAGGAACTCTTTGATGGGTATGTTTGACATCCAGCTCCGCCTGAGATGCTGGCAAATATCCGATATCCGCTGCCGTTTATTGACGTTTGTGTCCGACGTTACCGTTTGCACGGCGGAAGTGCAACCTGAAGCTCAGGATGACATCATAGAGTCAAATCAAAAGGAGCAACAAATGACCCTGCCCATCACATACACACCTGCTGCTAACATGAATGACTCTGAATCTGAAAGAATCCAGAGCAATAGTATAATAATATCATAGTGAATCAGACTCTTACATATTTGGCCTTCCATAAGTTTCACGAGGGAAAATATACTCGTGTTCAACTTTACGAACAATCTACATTTCACCTCCGGAAAAACATTCAAAACACAGATTAGTGTGAAGCACTTAATTTGACCTTTGGCCTTTTCAGAGCACTGGTGAAAACTGACCTGTGACATCAATAAATTATGCTGGCTTTCCAACTCAAACATGTGCTAAGTGCAGGCGGGTCTTTATCAGATCATAGTCTCTAGTCAAATGAACTTCAACCTCCCATAATCACTGCAGTACTTTGTCATCTGTGTAAGAACAAAAATACCACAGTACAAATCACCATTTAGCATTTTTCTTGATGTGGCCAAGTGCTGAGATTTTCTCCGTAGCCTTTTTAAATTTATTTTTCATGTGTCAGTGCCTTTGTCCAGCATTCGTAACTTAGTGTTGGTGTTATACTCAATAAAACAAAATAACCAATGACAACAAAATGAAAAAGCAAACGAAAATAAATGTTTGAACAACAAAAAAGTCATGCAGTTTGTTCAAGCAGCACAAAAAAAACAAAAACAAAGCTCACCAATGCGTTTACATGTCTTTCCAAGTGATTGTCTTTCATTTTGAGTGAAACACTTTGAACACACAAGCAGAGAAACAAAACAAAAACCTAAACGAAAGAAAACAAAATGTGTGATCAAAGAAAGTATATAAAAACAAAAATCAGCTTGCAATGACAACGTAAGCACAACAAATCCAGGGCTGATGTTTGTTGTCGTTTTTCTATAGACGTGAGTTTGATCAGGCATTGGGGAAAGTAAGTGATCCCCTGCCTTTGTTTTGTATTTCCATGTACCGATATCTTCATTCAATCAAACAAAGGAGGAGAAGCCAGCGATGGGGGCCCGGGAACCTGGAGCCAAGCTGCTCGGGGGCCGATAAAGTGTGCCTTGCTGACTGGGTGGGTTGGAGCTCTGCTGGGATGGAGTGGGAGTCCGGCTGCCCTTGGGTCTAAAAAGGCTGCCAGCCTGGGACTGGCTCTGGGACGTAGGGGAACTGAGCTGCGGTGGGAACGGGGGTAGAGGGGGCAGAGGCGGTGGAGGAGCGCAGGGTTCGGGCTCTTCGGACTCTGACTCGGTGTAGTTGTAGGCCTGCGCTCGGGAGATTCCCTTCTGCTGTCTGCGCCAGGAGTTGTAGTAGGTGGGGTCACTGATGTAGTGGTTGACGAATGAATGCGTCTTCTGGCGGTTGGGGTCCACCTCGTATTCGCTGTCACTGCCCTGGTGGTTGAGAAAGAGAGAAAGAATGAGTGATGGAGACAGAATCACTTCAACAATCTCAATTTTAAGGAAGGATGATGTGACCAGGTGTCCGGGATCAATCCACAGAATCAGAGGCTGCACTAGAAATAATCATTATTCGTCACTTTTGACACTAAAGTTCAAAGTTTGTGGTCAGGAAAAATGCATGAAATTCATCTGTTGATGCTGTCCTTTTGAACTTTCTACTCTTGAAAAATCACAGTTTCCGCAAAAATATTAAGCAGCACAACTGTTTTCAGGATTGATGATAATATAAAAAAAATTATATCGCCCTAGCGTCACGTGTTCATGAGTATTAGGCTAATCATCCCATATAGAAAACATCACAAGTAAAATTAATCATGTTTATAAAGATAAACATGGGTTTATTATAGCACATTTACATTTTACATTTCAGAGATCATTACAAATAAATTATTAAATGCTAAAACTGAATAAATTTAAATGAACAAACCTGGCGTTGCATTTGCAACCATGTGAAAACAGGGGGTGCTGCAGCCCCCTCAGCACCCCTACTTCCCGCGTCCCTGGTTACCACTTCAATGTTCAGTAAAATACTGTAAAACTTTACAGTGTTTATAATCTAAAGGGACACTGACAAGCTCTCAAGACCATTAGAACTTGTTTAGCAAGAGCTCATTTAGTTTTATCAAACAACAGACATGATGGTAACCTGATTAAACGAACAAAATCCAATTAATTATTCTATTGGATTATAATTGCAATCTCTTATTTCTTTCCACAAACCATCAAAGCTTTATTTATTGTAGGAAAGAAGTCTTGAAAGGCAACAGACCACACACCTTACTTTTGAATCTGTCATAAATGACCCAAGAAAAGAAAAGGCAAAAAAGGGAAGAACCAAAAAAGGCTCTATCTATCATTTAAAAATAACCTCATTGCTTTATACCACTGCACCCTCTGATACCAATCACACGCTGCGTTTAGGGGGTCACATATCCATGTGGTGGGGTTTTGACCATGTATGAACCTAATGGAGAGGATAGGAATGGACAAGCACTAAGAGGCGACTTCCTGTCAGTCAATGCACAATGCATATCCTCACCCTTTGAGTTGGAAGAGTATGGAGGCCCCCAGTCTTAAAGGAGAAAACAAGCGCCTCCTAGAGGTAAACAGAGACATGGGGTTTAAAGCAGTGCAGTATGGGCCCTAAGTCATATTTCATGGGACAAACAATGGCTTCTTTTTAAAAATGGTGCATTACCGTTACAAAAAAAGTACTGTAATATCAAATTTGTTTCAAATATTAATTTAATGCAATTTATTTCATAACAAACCCATATTAGCAGAATAACAATTTGAGTTAAACATTCAATGAAAAATAATATCCAGTATTAACATTCAGTGTAATGTCTTTATTTTACTTAAAGTTTAAGGCATAAAACAGGAATGCATATTTATGTTTAAAATTTTTCTAATAATAATAATAATAATAAATGAATAATTATAAATTATTGGTCCCTACTGTATACCATTGGAAAGTTTGATCAGCAGGCTAGTACCATGATACTTTTTTGTAAGGGTAATGCAGGCTGAGAATACTTCTCAACTTTCTTTGACATTTTAATGCATTTCTTGGAACAATCTTGAGAAGGTTCCTCATGGCAGCCTCCTACACTCTTTGTTGAGACAGCTCTCTGCACGAGAACAATGGACAACTGTATGAAGATCTGCTCTCCATCAATCTTTGTCTTCCACCACCACATTTATTACAACACCTTCGCTCTCCTCATTCTGACATATCTGGCTCACACTTCTAGAGCTGGCTGATGAAGTTCACTACAGTTGAATGCTAAAGTACCAAGCAACTGCCAATTGCCAACTGGAGAAGAAAAGGATGAAAATAAGAACCATCATAGCTCAGGCTTTTAGGGTTTGCATATTGTTTTAAGAAGACTCATCTATCCTCACCACCACTTTCTGCAATCCCCCATGAGAAATTCAATCTGGGAATTTCCAAATGCTACCTTTAAGGATTGATTCAGATCTAGACTCTTGCTCCATTGTTTGACACAATCTTTGAGTCTGCTATTAATAAAAAAAAAAAGTTTAATCCACCCTGCTAAAGAGCAACACTGTCATTTGAAGTCTTTCACTGTGTGACAATGTGAAATGAATGAAACCAAACAAACAGAATCTACAGAATTGTCTTACACTTCTACCTCTCACTGAATTATTGCAAAACACATAGATTATAAGATCACTACATTAAATACATATTTTGGCAAAAAAGTTCAACATTTCTCTTCGCCGTTCTCTTTTATAGTGAAAAGACTAACAATGCTCAGATCTCTCCAGTCCACCATTATTGTAACATACACACATATGTGACACACATGCCTCTGTTCAAATTCCAGAGAGGAAAGAAGTTTCCCCCAAATCAGCCCCACATCCCCTTAAAATCAGAGCTGCAGATTTCATGCCAATGACCTGCTGAAACTCTTTCATCCTTTCTTTCTTTAAACAGCAAAAACCTTTGAGAAAAAAAAAATCAGTATGATTAAATACAGTAGGGCATATTGTTTTGTATCTTTGTACATAAGAGAAAATTCCTGAAAAATTAGATTTTTCAGGAATTCAAATGTTTTCACTTTTTTATTCAATGATCAAGATACATATCATGTCTATAATAATACACACAGAATTACAGTGTTTTCCATTTACATTGTTATCATGAAATTTTATAATGACTTATAACTTTAATGATAATTTATTTATAATAGAAAAAAGGGAATTTTTTATCATATTTTAATCATGCATACATTTAATCATACATACATATACACAAAATATTATTGAATTGATCATGGATTTTTGTAGCATCATGCCTCTATTATTGAGCATGTGCTGATTTTAGCTTCTCATACGACTGCAGTGTTTTAATGAGACATTCCAGTCATACCAGCAAATTCAACAACTCAATAAGCAGCAAACAAAAGCCCTGTAATCTGTAATTCAGCTTTGAAAGCTTTCTCTGTTCAGCGTGACCTCACAGCAAAGACAAGCTCAGAAACTAAAGCTGCATGCTGACACGGTGTGTGTGTGTGTGTGTGTGTGTGTACTGGTATATATGGTTTATGAGGACACAAATGTGTATAATGACATGGGTACTACAACGTAAACATGGTTTATGAGGACACTTCCGGTGTCCCCGTAAAACAAAAGGCTTAAAAAAAAACATACAAAACAGTGTTTTATGAAATTCAAAAATTGCCAGCAGTTTTCTGTAAGGGGTAGGTTTAGGGGTAGGGCAATAGAAAATAGAGTTTGTACAGTATAAAAACCATTACGCCTATGGAGAGTCCCCGTAAACCACAAATGCAAGTATGTGTGTGTGTTTGTGTGTGTGTGTGGTCATCAAAACATGTCGGTTGAGACAGAGCGCCGTGACCTACTCCTGCCCTCCCCTGCTGACACATGCAGGACGTGACAGCTGTTCTCTCCTCCAAAAAATGTTCGTTTGCATTCATCCACTCCTCTGTTATTCTATCTCCTCCATCCAGCCATGATCCATTCCAATACTATTTTCAAGCTTGTTTGACAAAAAAACAACAACAATATGTCTCTAAGATAGTATAATGTGTTACATTTAATGCACAGCAGAAAACTGAAATATCACAGAAATCTATTTGATGAAAATAATCAAATCAGAGCACATCAGCCGTGATATTAGTGCTGTAAAGGGCAGCTATGCCAAACCACCTGAAGGGAGAATCCAGATGGAACTTAAAACCAATTCAGCTGCTGATTTTTACACATGTGACAGGTACACTGTAAAGAAGAGTTTTCAAAACACTTGGTTGGTACGTTCAGTGCTGTCGTTTCACTCAAACAAACACACTAAACACTGAAGAAATCGCATACTTCATTAAATAAATGTAAAAATGTAATAGTACAATAATTTTGAACAGGGAATATTTTAATGAAAAATTCTAAAAATAAAAATAATAAAAGGTATTATAAAAAACATACAAAAAAAAATAATATTTGTGTTTGTGGCTGCTAGGGTGTTTGACTGCTTATTTTTCAGAACATCTCATCGTAAGTATGAACAATAGTATGTAAGCATCATTAATAAAAAATACAAAATTTACTAAAGGCCAAGGTCAGTGTGATTCATGCCTTCATGAAGTTGGACTAAAATAAGTTTCAGGCCACAAAAAATTCCAAAATGACTGTAAATGCCAAGATATTCAACAAAACACAAAATAATAATAACAGAATAAAAGCTGATGACAGATTGTGATGGGTCTGGTTAATGACTCCTCAGATGGGAGGATCTGATCTTACTGGAACTGGCTGTTTGGCACGTATGTATTGTCTCCTGCAGAGACAGAAAGTGGGGCAAGATGTTCCCTCCCGGAGAATTCTGGTTTGAGTATAAGCCCTGCCGTACAGAAATCCCATTAAAACTTTACTTTCTCTGTGGAACTACATTTAGAGACACTGCGCCTGACCTTGTGATAGAAATACATGGAGTCTAAATATGTTTTACACAAGATTATGGGCTGTTTTCTTTCTGCAACAGATGACAGTGCTGGTGTATCACTAAAGAGGCATTACATGTGTTATATTTCTGTCTAATCTGCTCAAAAAAAGCCTAAAAAATGTAACACAGGCAATTAGATTTAGGTTTGAAGGCCATTGTGACTGCCAAAACAAACCCACCCCCACTCATATCTCTACAGAGACGGATGGAGAACGGGAAAGTAAGAAATCCTATTGCAGCACAGATATGGATTAAATGAAGGAGAGGAGCGTGTAAGTGTCTATGTCTCCCATTCCACCGATCCATTAGAATTGTAAGCACAGAAGGCGTTTGGACAGACAAAGACGCAAATTATATCTTCATACCGTTCAAAATTTTGTAAGAAGTAATACTTTTATTACGCAACGGTGCATTGATCAAAACTGAAAGTCATTCATAATGTTACAAAATATTTCTATTTCAAATAAATGCTGTTCTTTTGAACTTTTTATTCATCACGGAATCTAAAAAATATTTGTTTTCAACATTAATAATCTTACGAAATGTTTCTTGAGCAGCAAATCAGCATATTAGAATGGTTTCTGAAAGATCATGTGACACTGACGATTTGAGTAACGATGCTGAAAATTCATTTTTGTCATTACAGGTATAAATTACATTTTAAAGTATATTCAAATAGAAAACAGTTATTTAAAATGTTAACAATATTTAACAATATTATCGTTTTTGCTGTATTTTTGATCAAATAAATGCAGCCTCAGTGAACTTCTTTCAAAAACATAAAAAATCGTATCAACCCTAATCTTTTGAACAGTTGTTTTTTTTTTAATACATAAACTTAGCATTCTCAGTATTTATGTATTTGCTCTGAAATTACTTCAAAGGGTGATATGTTTTCCCAATCAGAGGGATCATTTCCAAACTGCATATGTAACACCAAGAAGTTTCAAAAAGTTTAACTGCAAGAAATAAAATACAGTAAAAATCTATTTAAAAACATTTTCCACAGTTTTTTTGTGATACAAAAAGTCATTTTACAAATCTTAGATTAAGGATATTTAATCATATATTAAAAAATATTTTTACCTATGAAAAAAAAACCCTACCTACCAAATTCCAAATTCTTAATTTACTTTCGCTCAGTTAATATTTTTAGGTTTACATTGTGCAAAATTAAGAAGATTAAAAAGCTTGACTAAATAATAAGCATATTAAAATAAAAGTATCTTAATTTTAGATCACCAGCAAAATCAGTACAAATGTACAGTTTTATTAATACTTGATATACGGTCCAACCCAAGTGTTATGCCATCAAATATTGTCATAATGCACACCTTTCTCCAAATCAAATCAAAATTTTCACTATGACATAAGAGTAACTGATGAGAAGCAAAAACTTTCCATGAGCTGGGAAGAATCTCACAGAGTTGATGATGTGATGCTGGGATGATCATCAGAGAGCCAATTAAAACACAGATGCTTTGACATGGAAAGCTGCCCTAACAATCCCTGCTGTTAGCTGCAGCTGTAGCGCCAGCGTTTCCAAAAAAAACCCAAAAGCAGCTCAAAATCAAATGTAAAATAAACTTTGTGTCCAACACACTCAAATGACTAGACAGAGTTACACCTGTCCAAATTCTCATTCATCTCCCATGTGTTAATTTAAAGGCAGAGCTGGCTCAGCTAGGTGCTCAGGTTTGTGGCCTTGCCAAATTAATTTGAGCCATCTTTATGAGTTCCTGAGCAATGACAGTATTATACGTCTCTGTGGCGGCTCTGACTCTTTTGGAGACAGCTCAATGGATCTGCAATAGCCTGGAGTTATCCGCTCAATAAAACTTCAAAGGGAGATTCCATCCTCTTTCCTCACTCTGCCTGATGGTGATGATACCAGACTTTAGCAGGAGCAGAAGGAGAACAGGAGATGCTCTGTTTCCAACCACGAGTCAAAGGTGGCCGGATGCCAGCAGTCTAGAAGGTGGTGGCAGGAGGTGTCAGCGAAGGGCGAGGAGGAGATTACAAATTTAGAGCTTTTGTTTGACATGATGTGCATTTTGGGAGTTCTGACAGGGTGATGGTGACAGCGCACACATTTTAAATAAAATTAAATGCTTGAAATCCTTTGGGCAATAAACCATTTCCCACTATTAAATATTTTATTTTATTATTTGTTAGTAAGAATAACAGGAAAGAAATATAGAAAAAAATGCTGCTATAAAATATATTTCTGGCTCAAAAATGGGATTGCATTAACTACATTTAAAGCTGAAATATATATGCGCACATACACGTACACTGAATCAATTAAAATTCACTAACAACAACTATATATAATGTGAAGAAAACAGCATGATGTGAGCGTGTTTCTTGCTCTCTTTGCCAGTCTGCAAGTTTGATTTAGTATATGCCAATGCTAGACTTTCACACACAACTCAAACTGAATAGCTTTTGCTCATCATGCCAGCTAAATGGTCAATAGAGAGATGTGGAGAGAGTCCAACCAAAGCCTTCCAGTTCTCACACTTTAATCTTTATGCATTTATGTGAGTATTTTGTTTGATTACAGTTCCTGTGTGCTGCACACTGTGTTTTCTTCTCAAGTCTACCACCGATTTTCCAACCTGTGCCTCAGGACACAAAGACTGGAGAGAATGAACTAGGATGCAGCAGAATGTTCTGGACATGATAAAAAAACTAACCACCCACAGGACCTAACCCGGACTGAAGCCATGCGCAAGTAAGACAGCCAAAATCTCAAGTAGGGTGTAACAGACCTTTCCTGCAGGGCTGTATCCTACTTTTGAGAAAGTTTCAGTACAGCGAGTCCTAGTCCTAATAAAAGTGTGTGATAAGGGAATTTCAACAGGTCCTATTCTAAATGAATGTGACTAGATTTAGCATTAGAAAGCCTGCTTGGAGGTTAAAGGGACAGTTTATCCCAAAATGAAGATTTTGTCATTATTTACTCACCCTCATGTTGTTTTCAGAACTTCTGAAAAAACACAAAAACTGAAGCTTTCGTGGTTCAGAAAGGAGGCAAAAGCACCATAATCAGAAAAGTACAATAAAAGTTGTCCACAAGTCTATATGCACAATGCTTTTACATCCTTTTTAAAGCTTTAAAGCCTCTTGAAATTAAATGAGGGTGAGTAATTGAGGACATAATTATTGGGTGAACTGTCCCTCTAATATATATTACACACACACACAGACTGATAACATCTCATGACAGAATGCTTGTTACCTGTGAATCTGAGATCTCTGATGGCTTCTCTGTGAGACTGCTGCTCTCTGCTGGGATCAGGTCATTGTATTTGGCGCTGACATCCTCATCTGAGTAGTGCAGACTGCCTGGACTGGGTCGAGGAGGTGACCTGAGCAAAAGACGTGACACAACACCAGTTTTATAAGCACAGGATGAATACTGTCTAAATGTCTTTCTTATTTTTAATATATTACTTACTTTACACACACACACACACACACACACACACACGCACACACATGAAAAAAAGCAATCTCTGAGTGAAGTATGAAGCATCTTTAGAAAAGGTTTGGCAGTAGTTCCAACTGCAGACACTTGTCTCTTTGTTAGGTGAATGAAGTACAGTGTGTGTGTTTGTATTGAGAGGCGATTCTTTATGAGTATCATGGGACCACTGTAAGATGCCAGCTCCAAGCGGTTTCTGCATAATTAAGTCTCTGTGATGCAGCAGTGGAGAGCAGTTAAGAAAAAAAACGTGTGAATTCTGGATTATGCATCAGCTATTAAAAAATTCTGTTATTAATATTTCTGTTACTCTCTGAGAAACCTTTAAAAATAATTTTACTCTAAGTGTTTTGTAAAAGTTTCACTATGCTTTTAAGGATACTTTATACACAACAAAGATTGATATTGATCACATTTGTTATTTTTTTTTTCCAAAACAAACTCTACATACAGCGACTGTGTTTTGCCCGATGTTTGCAGTCTATTTGTGTACAAGTTGTTTGCACTTTTCTTTCATTAATACTGTTGATTTCAAACCTGCATTCACGATTCCAAGGGAACACAAACCTAGTTGCAGAATTCATAAATATAAAGTAAGTATGCAGCTACAGCAAACAGAATCATAAAACTCTTCCAACACATCATCAGCAATATGTGATCTCTGAGATTTCTCTGATTATCTTTTTTCTTTCTAAAAATCCCTTAGGAAAAAAATTTAAAAGATACAAGTGTGCTGGTGTGCTTGTGACTGCTGAAACACTGCAGATTGTGCTGACTGATGTGTGTGTGTGTGTGTGTGTGTGCGCGTGATGTAAACAGGCCTCTCTACAGTCCAGAACAGAAAAGTCTTGAACACAGAGTTAAAGCACACCATATACTGTCCCTGCCTTTAAAAACAACACTCTCCTTATCACTGAGATAAGACTGTGGCCCCTCATAAACTACCGCTGTAAGACCTGCCACCTACTTTCTTTATGTTTAACATTTCTATTAATGTTTCTATTTTAATTTTGTATTGCCATTTACATTAACACACACATACACAAAAGATTTTGAATGTCCTGGCTTCTCTTTCCATAAAATAAAAGTGAATGGGAACAGTCAAGATAAAAAGCACTAAAAAAGTAACACAAAATATCTTATTTTGTGATCCACAGAAGAAAGTCATTGCCTGGAACGAAATAAGGGCATGGAAATGATGACAAAATGTCAATGGGAAACAAATTCTGTACACTGTACTCAAACTTTTGCTCTGATTGTGTTTGAGAAACCGCAGACATGCCATGACAGACAGTCAGAAGAATTTTAAAAGAAAGGCTCGCTTTTAGATCTTAAATCACAGACCTCCTTCTCAGCAGGCAGTCTTTGAATCCTGCCAGTATCTTGAGAAGAGAAGCAATCTGTATTGTGTTACTTGAGAAATGCAATGTCATAACTATTGAAGTTATAACAGCAAGACAGCGCACTTGAACCAGCTCTCTGCAGTGGGCAGACATCAACGGTCTTTGATTCTTTCCACCTTGATGCTCCTGTCACTTCTCTAAGATTTTCCTGAGGTTCTTCATTCACTTTCCTGATCCTCTCAGTCGGTGAGCCCACAATCTAACTCAGGCTCTGTAGACCATCCACCCGGGAGAGAACAAAGCCTGTGGAACTTCATCTGCACATTCCTCCCACACCTCTCCCTTAATCTGTGGCCAGAGGAAAGAGCCTGGCATCCACTCAAAGACCAGAGGACCTTTGATCCTCCTCAAGGTGACCCAGGATGAAGGAGAGCAGAGGCTGAGAACTAAGGAGTGATAATAGGGCAGATTTCTCAAATGGGAATGGATCTACACACCTGGCACACCTGGATATATTACTACAGGTGTGAGCACCTATTCATGACATTGCTTGACTATTCTTAAAGGGGTCATATGATGCAGCTAAACATAACATTATTTAGTGTATTTGGTGTAATGAAATGTGTTTATGCGGTTTAAAGTAAAAAACACATTATTTTCCACATACTGTACAGTATTGTTTCTCCTCTATGCCCCGCCTTTTTGAAACGCGTCGATTTTTACAAAGCTCATCGGTCTGAAAAGCGAGGTGTGCTCTGATTGGCCAGCTATCCAGTGCGTTGTGATTGGCCGAATACCTCAAGCGTGTGACGGAAATGTTACGCCCCTCCCCATACTGTTGATGCCGTGTCCCGGCCGGAGCAACGAGACAAAAACATTAAAACCCATTACAAACGAGGCATTTGTTGCATCCAGTGGGGACATAATTACTGATTATAATGACTTATACTGTCTTTTTACGCATTGCGTTGCATCGCGCCACGTAAACATAAAACCATGTCTGCATTTGTGATCGGAGAAATGACAAACAACAAGTGCTACTCTACACTGCCCAAAACTCGCGTTTGAATCATCAGTGGCAAATCCTTTAAATGAAAACGTACTTACAGACTGTGAGTCAGAACTGCCGGCATTGTAGTCTACTCTGCCAGGATCAGTAAACAGTCCTCCATAAAATGTGCTGCACACATCTGGATATTTGGGTTAAACTGTTCTGGAACAGTGTTGTAAATACAACTTAACCACTGATTTGTAGTCGTGTCCTCTTTTGGAAGACCAAACAAAGTAGTTTCGCTTTCACAACGAAGCACACAGCGTCTTCACGACATGGCGGCAGCGGCAACAATACTACAGTGAGAATAAAAGTTACGCCTTCTTTCTTTGCGTGAACATTTGGGTGGCGTTATGCAAATCTTCCCACATAGTGAGGTAGATATGTGGGGGCATGTTAGAACGAGCCGTTTTAGGTAGGTGTGGCTGACTCTTAACTTTTATAAAGAATATCTCTTTGGATTTGAGACTTTAGTCTTTGCAACTTTACAGATCTTCTTTATGCACCAAGAGCTTGTAACACTCCAAAGAGAAAGTAACAATTGAAATCGCATCATATGACCCCTTTAAAATATAACACATTGCAATATTTAAATTCGATGTGCTACTTAAAAATAACTACTAATTTATAAAATAAAAATTCTTAGTTTCAAATGCAGAACCTACACCACCCAATCCATATTTTCATTAAGCATAGTTTTAGTTGTAGTAATAGATGTTTTGTGCATATATTTTAAAACAGTCCCATTTTAGAAAGAACGGTGGCAGTATAGGTGAGGTCATGAACCAGAATCTGTTATTGCTCTTAGCCTGTGACTTGTCAGAGAGAAATGCTCTCATTAGTGGAAACAGAAACTTTTTATATTGAGTTTTATGATGGAAAGCAGGATCTTATGAAGGTAGAGCCATTTGGTAATCCCATCAATCTTTCCATGATGAATGAGAAACTCCTATATTTTGGGCTATTTTTGCCACATTATTGCCAAGTGGTTGAAGCTTTATGGGAGTTTAATAGTTCTATGTGCAAAATAATACAAAATAAGCACATATGATAATTGATTTACTACTTCATATAACATTACCCAACCTACTAGGCGAAGTGACAGGTGAACATTAGCGTATTAAACTGCAGCTATTGCTGCACTTAGACTGAGTAATTTTTGTTATGACCATGAGTTTTGTAATACTTCATATTTCAGCTCGAAAACCTGCATGCTCATATTAAAAAACCTAAAAACTTGCAGTCAAAGAGAGACACTTTCACTGAGAGAAACGTCCACTGACCTGGTGTAGACGCCATTTTTGCGGCAGAAGGAATTTTTGACGGACAGTCGTCGATTGTTCAGTTCCAAGGCAGGGAAACGGCTCTCGTCCAGGCTGACCATCTCTCCATGTGTCAATGCATTGCAGTTGGAATTGCTGCCTGTATGGATGAGATATTAAGAGATCATTAAGACAAAGTTTGGACCAAAACTGAGATGTTACAAATTTTGATCTGATGAAGGTGATGCTTTAGGTGATGCTTTAGGTCTTACTAAATTAATTGAAACAGAAATTAATTTTGTTATGGGGTCGATCATAATAACAGGATGCAATGCCACCAAAACCAAAAGGCCATTTAATCTCTACATTTTGGAGCTCAACACCCTCATTAAGATAAAACGGTTCTGGGCTGGCAGGTGGTGTTGTGTGAATGGTGCATACGTGTGTGTGTGTGTGTGTTGGACATTTGTGTGATGTAGTGTGTTTTTGTGTGGAAGCAAAAACTGGGCCTCTCATGCTCTCTCAGTGTGTTTAACATGTTTAGTGACCCACATGACTGTCCCACCCCTCAGTACTGTTGTGGTCTGCCATCTCTTACTACAGAAATGCTGACCACACACTTACACACACATTCCACACTGATGATGTCACAGAAACAACAATGCTGTTTCATTCAACACGCCTCTCCCTGAATGACCCTTTGACATAAACACAACACACACACAAACATACAAACAGACAGACAGAAAGAACGATAGACAAATAGAATGATAGAAAAAAATGACAGACAGCCTGAACAATAAATGGATGGATGGACACAAACAGACATAACTACATATAGACAGAACAATAGACAGACAGAAGAAACGATAGATAGACAGACAGACAGACAGACAGATAGATAGATAGATAGATAGATAGATAGATAGATAGATAGATAGATAGACAGACAGACAGACAGGCACATACTTGAGTCAGATTTCTTAGCATATTTCTTGCTCTGGCCTCTGATGATGAGGATGAAAACTAGAAGCAGGATGAAAATGAGGCCGACCAGAGCAACCACCACCAGAAACCACCATTCCTCATAGAACGGAGCCACTTTTTGTGCTGGAATTAAAAACAAATGTATATATTATTAGAAGAATTGACTTTGGTATGATTTTCAGATTGATTTTCACTTTGAAGGTTTGAACTAACCTGATATGGATGGTGACGGTTGGCTTGGAGATCCGTACCCATAATCATTCACCCCGATGACCCGGAAGTCATAGCTGACTCCCTGTTTTAAGATATCCATGTTGAAGGTATATGAAGTCACTTCCTTGGGAATGTCCTTGATTAAGATGTCCCACAAGCCTTCATCTGGAACATTTTTTTTTAAGATAGAAAAATGGCTAGTCATTCATTGCAGCATAGTTTATATAAGTCATAAGTTCTATGAGTCTGATCACCTTAGAGAAACAGCACACACAAATATGAAAACCATGTCATTATTTACTTACCTTCATGTCATTCTAAATCTGTATACAAGTTTGAAACAACATGGGTGTGAAAAATGTTAATAATTACCACATTTTTGTTTTGGGATATACAGTGCCTTTAAGAATGCACTGTTTTTGTGTGTGTGTTTAACACTGCAGCAGCTGTCACAGCTAATAATTCAGAGGTGAGACCTCATCAAATTAAATTTCATCACAATATAGATCACATGTCATTTCAGCTATGTCTAATGTGTTTAATGTGCTACCGATAACCCCAAGTGCCTTCAGGAGCAGTGAAGAGAGAGAGAAAGTAGTGCTGGTGTCATGTGCCAGGCCTGGTAGAAAAATTACAGGGTTAGATCTTCAGGGCAGAGTGTGAAAATAATATTCCACCTCTACGGCACATGAATGGCATGCAAAGATGGCCTGGCACACATCACACTAATGTATGGGTCTTTAAATCAATCCCATCTGCTCCTCCCCCAGAACTCACTCTTTTCTCATTCGAGCACAGCTTCTCCTCAGTCACTGAGGGAATCTGATCTGCTTTGTCTCAATTGGACTGCTCACATCAATATATCTCCTTCATCGGACACAAGCTGCCGTCAGCATCTTTTTTCCAGACTGAGGCATATGGAATCACTCTTCATTGTTTGGAAGAATTTGTATCTAGGAATTTGGTTGATGAATGTGCTGCCAAACGGACCTCGTGCTAAGCATGGGCCTTAAAGTCAGAGAGAATGAATATTTGATTTGGGTTTACTCATTTCCTTGAATACAAGTCTTGAGTTGGCTCTTCTAAATCAGACAATATTGAGTTATTTTTCACTTTAAACTAAAATGTACTGAATTTAGTTTAGCCTATTTCAGTTCAATATCTATTTGGGTTTTATTATTGTCACTGTTCAAGTGGAGCAGCATTCACTGTGAACTGAGCTGCTCTGAGACACCGAAAACACTGGATCATGAGCTGCTCGTGTGTAAATGAACACAGTGCCGCACTTTACTCTGGAAAACTTTAGGTTGCACAGAACATGTGACCATTTCTATTCTATTTTTGTCATTTTGACACTTCTTAGACACACATTAAAGAAATGACAGGAAATTTGAAGACAAGAGGAAAGTAATTGGTGCACACACAATTTGCAAAGTGCAAATTGGTATCTTAAATAACCTCACCTGAGGGCCTGGCCTCTATAACATAGCGGGTGATAGGTGCTCGCCCGGGATCCCCATTGGTCCAGTGGATGGTGAGGGCGGAGCCATATCGGGAGATGAAGGGCTCACCGGGAGGGCCCGGGGCTCCTGATCACAAAGAAGCAATGGGGTTACATGAACTTACTGAAATTGCTTAGCTGAAATTGTACGGAGGGACAGAGAAAGCATGCAGACAGACCTTCTCCAGGTCCTGTGGTGATGTTGGCCTCCACCTCTGGACCGTAGGTGAAGGTTTTGGCGCGAATGCGGAAGTTGTATGTGACGCCATCCGCCAGGTCTTTGATTTTCAGCCACAGAGGGGCGTTCCCCTTCACGTCCACCGTCACGATCTTACTGACGCCTGGGGGGGAGGGGGAGTGAAGACAGTCGACACAGGCCACTGAGGACTCTAGACAAACACACTACTTTTAGTTCAGGCAACAGGAGCTCAACACACACTCACACGTGGGTGTAGATCTCATCTCAGCAATTTTGTTGGCCCCTGAATAATGATTGCAAGGTCCAAAATGAACACTCATCAAGCTAAATGCGAGCAAAATGACTTTGGCCAGTTAAAAATTTGGCTGGTCATTTTGTTAGGCTTTTTATTTTTATAATTTTATAATTTAGGTAATTTTAGAATTTTTGTAGCGTTTAAGTTGACTTGAAAGAATGATAATTTGATGCACATTGTAAATTTTTAAAGACTCCTAAAGTTTTCTCCAGAAATATGTCGAGACCAAGCCACTAAACGGCACCAAAATGAGTTGTGACAGGTGCTGTTTCAACAGAGAATAGTTTATCTTTGTTTATGTTAACTAAAACCATTAAATATTTTTTTAAAATCGAAATAAAGCTAATATAATATATAAATATTAGATGAAAAAGTTAAACTTAAAAATAAAATAATTAACTAAATTAACTTTATTAAACAAAAACTTTATAAAAAAAATAAACAAAAACTAATAAAAATGACAAAAGCACATAACAAAATTACTAAATCAAACTAAATTAAAATAAAAACTGAAAATATAAAAAAGATCATTCAAAATATTATTAAATACTACAATAGTATATTAATATTAAAATAATACTGTTTGTGAGTGATACCAAAATTGCATGTACTGTTTTTCAGAAATAAGCAAAGAAAAAATACCTAAATAATTTTAAATAACAGTTAAATTATTCAAAAAATTATATTTTTAGAATCAAAATAATGCAAAATATGGTTTCATGGGTAGTTACAATATTTATGGATAGTATCTTTTCAATTAACCCACCATTGGTAAGTGTGGAAAATGTTAATTGTGGACCCTGATTGATTATAATATTCACAATTTGATGTTCACACAATTCTGGAAGGAAAGTTTCTTCCCGGGTCCAACACCCCTGCACACAAACAGATACATACATACATACAGACAGACAGACAGACAGACACGACAGACAGACAAGACAGACAAGGCAGACACACACACACACACACACTCTCTATTCTGTGACTACTCATGATTATCTAATAATGGTAGTAAGGTTTTAGAAAAAGGAATTTTGAAGCTAAAGGTGTTGTGTTATGCATGAAATCTGAAATCGATACATGAAAAAAGAAAGGCACTGACCATCAACAGGCATGCAGGGCTCGTAGATAAGTCTGTAACCCTCAAGGATGCCGTTAGGGAAGACAGGCTCACCCCACGACACGTTGACAGAGGTGGTGGTAAGCTCACTGAAATGGATGAAATTGGGAGCACTGGGAGCTGAAAGAGAAAACATCTGCTAATCAGGAGAGACCACGACCGACAGTCTCAATGACTTAAACGTGTCTGCCTGTCTCCCTTTCCTGGAATTAAGACTTTAAACCCTTTTTGGAACAAAAAATGGCTACAACAAAATTACCTGTCATTCTGTGCCTGTTTCTATCTCTGGGGGAAAAAGAAAGAGAGCAGACATGATATAGAGACAAATCTTTTTAGACGAAGGAGAGGAAGATAGACACAGCTTGTGAGAAGATTGACAGACTCTTGCGGATTTATTGTGCTGCCTTCGCTATGTATTTCAGCTCCACAGCTTGAGACAAAACCATTTAATGTCAATCAAAGTGTTTTCTGGAAGAGCAATTTAAGATATCTACAAAAACTGTCAAGCTATTATATGTAGTTGAAACCACAAGCAAAAACAATACTCTTTAGTATGTCAACAGTACTTCAACCACACAAAATAAGTGGTCTTAAAGGGTTAGTTCACGCAAAAATGAAAATTCACCCTAGGTGCATATGACTTTCTTCTTTCAGACGAATCCAGTCGGAGTTATATTAAAAATTGTCTTTGATCTTTCAAGCTGTTTAATGCCACTCAGCGGGTGTTGCAGTGCATCAGTCCAAAAGAAGTGAAATAAAAAGCACCCATCCATTAAAAAAAGTGTCTCACACGGCTCCGGGGGGTGAACAAAGGCCTCCTGTAGCGAATCGATGCGTTTTTTGTAAGAAAAATATCCATATTCAAAACGTAATAATCACTTTAATGTAGCTTGCGCCAACAGTTGTACACAGAAGCAGCTCCGGGCAGATGACGTATGAGGTCAGCATTGAGAGTCTCGTGAAAACCAACGTTTGTTAACAGGAGCAAAGGAAGCAAAGTTTCCTTACTTTAGCAAAGGAAAACCAGTCTCCTCTTGGCTTATATCGAAATCCTCCGACATTCATCTTTACAAATCCTCGTTTTGTACTTCTAATAAGTGACCGGTGTTTTGTTTTGATCTCTCCCCTGCGCTTCCACGTTCGTCACTTCTGAGCGGCGCATGCACAAAGCTGACCTACACTTTTTTTTTATGGATGGGCGATTTTTATTTAACTTCTTTTGGACTGATTGTGGCATTAAACAGCTTGAAAGATCAAAGACAATTTTTAATATAACTCTGACTGGATTCGTCTGAAAGAAGAAAGTCATATACACCTAGGATGACTTGAGGGTGAGTAATTTGTGGGCTAATTTTTATTTTTGGGTGAACTAACCCTTTAACTGCAAACTAAACCAAACAATACTTTTTTTTGCATATTTTAATGTTTTTAATTTAACCATCTAACAAATCTCCAAATCCAGTCAGTAAGTTAGCTGTTAATTCATTAAACGCTCCGATGTTTCAAAAACTAATTTGCTAGATTGTTTCAAATCGATGACTTTTGAGTCTTTTTCACTGATTCTTTAAAAGAACCAGTTCACAAGAATCACTCGCTTGAGAATCAATCTATACTAGTGGTGAATTCTGTCATATTTGTCACATCATCTTTTCTTCATAAGAAAAATAAAGAATAAACCTAGTGTATGTATCCACCATTCAATTTTGAGGCTTCAGAATATCATTTTTATACATCCTCTGTCCTATTATACAAACTACTTTGTTCCTCGTCTTTCCCCTTCTTGAATTTTATAAGCAAAGAAAGTGAAAACAAAAAGCCCACACATAACAAAATAGCCTGGAAAGCTATTTCATCCATCAACCAATTTTGACACTGAAGCTCAACACGGCCAACTTTACAATATCAGAAGACAAAAATGTCACTTCTGTGGCAATCGAAAGAAAAGCATATTTCACTCAGACTCCAGGGAAACATCACCTCCTGAAAGAGAGAACAGTCTAGAGACTGTGTCCCACAGACGCTCTGAGCTGCGAGCCAACTCACAGGCATGCCGAATGAAAACCACAAGGCTGAATAAGGTAGAAATTACTGCGCTTCATCAGACCGAACTCTATACACACAAACAAACGCAGATAGCAGATTTACTGATTAGAAGCAAAGGATAACTTGTTGAGTTTTTGATATTTTTTGGCCTGTTGTCAGCAGCGGTTCACATTCCAGAAGTTCTTGGACTCATAAATAATTAAATCATTTGAAATAGTATCCATCATTACAAACTTCTGATTGACTCCCCATGTGTTTACAGTAAAATAAGTTGCAGTCTTATGCCTGTGTTAATTTAGATAGCTATTAAAAGTAAAATGACTGCATTCAGCTTTAAAATCTGAAAAAATCTATCTAGTGCAGTTAGAGTGGTCTTCCAATACTTGGCACATCATATGCTTAGCAAATGACCTGGAACAAGCGTTTTTGTTAACTATTGTGATATGCATGAAGGTCCTGGACAAGACAGGTAAGGACAGAACTAACTGTAAAGTTTCCTCACCAGCTTGCTGGGTTCTTCCTCTGGTCGGTAGGCTGCGTGGCCCATCGCCGGCTGCGTTGAAAGCAGCAACACTGATCATGTAGGTGGTGTAGCCCGTTAGATTCTTGAGCTTCACCCCTCCCTCTGGCAGGAAGAGAGTCCTCAGTTTCTCAGTCTCGTTTTTCCGCTGATATTCCCAAAAGAATATCTGCAAGAATAAAACAAAAGGTCACACTCATATTATTGTTTTGCATGTCTGTTTTAGGCGTTTCTTTAGCTTCATGCACTTTTATGTCCCAGGGGTTGATTTAAAAAAAAAAAAAAAACGTATTTCCTTTCTTATTTAAAAGGTCACATTATAAAGGTCTTGGAAACATTTTCCAAGCCTCATCATTTATTTTTGCAACTTTTTAAAAATGACCTTCACATATAGATTTTATCAAGTTACAGAGCAAATTACTGACACTGATTTCTCCACATAAATTGCACAAGAATTTAGTTTGAATGTAATAGTAAACAGTCTAAATCATTCAGAAAATCCCATGAGTCATGGAAGGTCAACATATAACCATCATACAGAAAATGTACATGGGAGTCACACTAAAAGCATTTTCCACATAGTCATCAGAGTCTGACCTTATAACCCTGAATATCTCCATTCTGAGTCTCCAGCGGAGGCGGGTCCCACGTCACATCAAATTGTGTGGCAGTAGCTGATTGGATGACCACATTTTGAGGCGGGGCAGTGGTATTTAAAAGTTTTTAATCAAGCCATTATGACTTTTCTTATTTAAGACAGCGTATTGACTTTTATTGAAATGTATCTGTTTAAACATATTGCTTTTAACTTTAACAGAGATCTTTTTTTTGTGCTCTGAAAGCGGAATTAAATGACATACATTTCAATTATATAATCTGATACATGAAAATTAAAAAAAATGCTCCATAAAGTTATCTTTAGGAAGTGATCGTCCCCTTACCCTGAGACTAGCAATATCAAATGCTGATTTAAAAAGCTTCAATTTAGTTTCATTTTTAGTTTGGCTACTTTTGGTAAGCAATTTTACTTGTAGCCTGGGAAGCTAGCTTTAAATTATCATTGCAGCACTGGTTTTATATGTGCAGCCATACAATATTATCAATGCTTCACTGCAAACTTATAATCCTGCAGAACACTGTTAAAATTTAAAAAAATACATTAGATTATGGAGAATTTATGAAACTCATATTACATTATATAAGAACACTTTACAACTCAAAACCTCTGATATCTACGCTGGATCAGTGCACTGGATAAATAATCCAAAGTCTGATTATAATACTCTGCAAGAGGAATGTGCCTTTGCTTGAGTGGAAGTCAGTGCAGCAAAACTTTCTCCAGACGTTTCAAACCACACCAAAGCGGGTCTGGCTAGAAGGGATTGATTTGTTTTGAACTTGACCTCAGTGGACCATAGACGTCTCCGTTCAGAGACATGAACACACAAACATGCACTTTAGGTCTAATTACATGAATCTGTGACAAAGAGATCATATGGATGGGGAAGGCACATGGATGCCTATTACTGTTTAATTTGAACTGTTTATAATTTATTTCTTGCTTAATGTCACACACTGTGATGTGATGTGATGTTCAGTTTGAGCTTGTCTTGTTGATGTGTGACAACAATATGCATTACCTCTCTTTTCGGTGGTGACCACCAAAGCCTCCGCTGCCTCTCCCCAACCCTTGCGTGTCTGCACTCGGATACGGAACACATACACGGATTCCGGCCTCAGTCCGGCGACGGTATACTGCCGTGCGCTGGAGTTCAAGACGTCAAACGTGGCTGTGTTGCTATTGGTGGAGTTCAGGCGGTATGTGATCTGATAGGCTGGAGAGGGAACCAATGACATCACAGAGATCAGGACAGGACAAACTGTGCTTTTCCTTGCGTGCAGTTGAGGAAATGTAACATATTTGGCTTGTTTCTTGATTAGAGGAAACGCAAGCTAATGAACAAAGGCAAAACAAATGTGATTTTGTTTACAATGGGGCCGCTTAGGAGTGGAAGCAATTACACAATTTTTTTTTGTTTTTGCTTGGTGTCAGTAAGATTTTTTTTTTTTTTAAAGAAATTAATACTTTCATTCAGCAATAAAGCATTAAA